GAAATCCTTTGGCAGCAGATGAAGGAGGCAGAAGAAGGCAAAACAGGTTAATCTCTAGGACTGGATAAAGAGTAAAACAGAGACACTTCTTTTACTTGGTGGGTACATGATGGTTAATAATTAACATTTGCAGCACATGGGAGATGGTATGTGGGAACAAAGTAACAATGAAGGCTTCTGTGCTCTTGTGCTCCCATGCCTGCGGCTGTGCCTTCAAGGGGTGTGGGAAAAAAATCCCTCTGATGTTTCAGAGGTATGTTATCTAGATGCTTAAGAACCTTGTACAGGGTTCGCTTAAGGTAAAGATTGACCTTTGCTATGGAAGCTACAGGCCTGGGATGAGGCTCTCCGCAGAGCCTGCCCCGTTAGGGATTTCTGACCAGCCCCTCCGGTGTGGTTACTCTCGGTCACCGAGCTCGTCAGGCCTGCATTATGCCCCCCGGCTGGTCAGGTTTAATGCACAGCCTCTTTTTTGATCGCAAGTATTTAGGAAAAAGTCATGGTTCTCTCTGGCCTCCAGAGAGAAGCACCACTTTCACCACTGGCAGTTTCATTCCGAAAATACAGGGTGAGGCAAAAGTAGGTGTAGTTGTGAGTACGTGAAACACAGTTTATTCTTGTATTATTATTATTTATTAAGTATTATGTTATTTTCCATACAAACAATTGTAAACTACTCCTGCCCCAGCCTGCCTTTGAAGGAAGTTTCCCAGCTATGGTGACATAGAAATTAGTGAGGGGAAGGGAGGATTCAGAAGAAGGTGGTCTAAAGGGTAAATTGAGGCATATTAAGACATTGAATAGTTTATTTGAGCATGAGCCGATTTGAATTTTTGGGCGAGCTGTGGGTAGATGAAATTGGGGCAATTAGCAGAGAGAGGTGGACCCCTGAGGCAATTGAGGGGGGTGGGTTTGCAGCAGGAGCAGGCATAAACGTTCTCACAGGACCCCCCCAGCGCTAGGGGGGGTCCCTCCTCTGCGGGAGCCGGTGGGGGCTACCGTGTGTCAAGCCTGCAGACCGTGAGCTAGGTCAGTGTAAACAGCCCAGGGAAAGGAGATCAAAGCACACCACAACCAGTCACATAAAGAGCCCTCTGTGCCCTCTCCACGTCCTTCTACCCAATGCCCAAAAGCTGTGGGCACAGAAGGGGAAGGGGTGTCTGAGCAAGAAGGCCACGCCCCTTCCTTTAGTCTTAAAGGTATAAATCAGGCTGTCCGGGGTGGTAGGGGGTGGAGTGGGGTTGGTGGGTTCGAACTTGAATATGAGATAGACTTCCAAATTCGTATACTTTCAAGCCTTAACTGGAATGAAAGTACTTTAATGACAGGGAGTGAAAAGTTAGGGAATCAGGCTGAGCCGGTGTGAAGAGAACCTGCCCCCTAGCGGGGAACGGAGCAGAATTGACAGCTAATGAGAGCGACCCTCCCGTCCCCACCCTCAACCCACAGGGGCTACTGTCGCTTTATAACTGGGAAATCTGTGACTCTGCGAGTTAAGTGGTCAGCCAAGGTCCTGTCTACCAAGGGCAGTACGGTGACAAGCCCCGGTACACCGGCCTGAAGATTGAAACAAATCTCCTGGCAGCCACGTGGGGGCGTCCTCACCGTGGGCCGGCAGGTTGCGGGGCGGTGAGGGTTGGTGGGCTCTGACTTGGGCGACTCCAACGGATGTAACCTGGCTGATGCAGGATTTTATGATACAAGCTGGTTGTTTTCTAGGTTAGCATAGCGTGCCAGCACTGCGGAGAGTGTGGGAAGAGGAAATTATCTCCAGTCCTGCCCAGCACGGAGAGAAAATCGGGGCGTTGGGGAGAGGGACAGCCCAGATGTAATCTGAGCCCTTGGCCCCCGCAGGTTGGACAACCCAAGTGTTAGTAAACGGGTGTGATTCAGAAACAGAGAAGTGATTGAGTCTAATGCCTGGCAGAAGCCGCCTTGAGGGAAAGGGGCGGAAGGACTGCACAGCAGCCTTCCGCTGCCTTTCCTCCCCGCAGCCTCCGCCGCAGGGAGCACCCATCTGCCGCCATCTGGGCTGACCCAGTCCTGGGGAAAGGCGGGCCTCTGGGCAAAGGCACTCTCAGCGGCTCGGACCTGAACTTGCTAACAATGACCTGGCCTGCCCTTGGCTGAACAGTTTTCTCCACCTCTGGCATTTCCTCTTGGACTCTGGCTCTTCAAACCACATTCTAGGAAAAGCGACTCCAGACTGAGGAGCATGGACCTTAGAAAATGGGGATTTGTGGAAGTTTTGCAATGAGGGGAATAACTGAGCAACACCTTACACTATCTCTTGCTCTTGGGGTCTGTGACGTCACATCCCCTGGCTTCTTTCTCCTGCTCACTCCTCTTCAGTGTCCTTTGCTGCTGCCTCGTCCATCTACCCCATTTCTTCTAAGTAAGAATTGAAAAAATTCTCAAGAGATTCTTCAATGAAGTAAATGGAGAGTTTTTAGGCCTCTTTCGGGACCCTGTGTGCTCTGCATAGGTGAGCTCACCTTTCTCTTGCTTTTAAGGATCTCTACATACTCAGGACACTTAACTCAATGCAGGTCTAGCCCAGAACTCTAGTCCCATTTATCCACTTGCCTATCTGACATCTTCATTTGTGTGTCTCATGAGTATCTCAAACTCCGTATCCTTCAAATTGAACTTCATGTTCCTTCAGGAAATCCCACTGATTCTACCTCTAAAGGATGTATCGAATGTATTCACTTCCGCCCCTCTGCTCCCCCTCTCACTCGCACTGACAGCATCGGCCCCACTCGACTTGCCACAGCTCTTGCCCCTGACATCGCCTCTTAACATGACCCTCAACTCATTCTCCGTGGAGCAACCAGAGCAATTTGGTTAAACTGCAGATCAAACCATGTCCGTCTTACATGTAAATCCCCTACTGGCTATTGTTTGTATTCAGAATGAAATCTAGTGTCGTACCATGATCTGGCTCCTGTCTACCTGTGTTAGCCATTAGTGCTGCTCACCCGTGTTTCCATGTCTTCTCTCCATCTGTGCACATGGGGTGATTGCACTTTCTCACACCCCTCAAGGGGCGATAAGACCACGGGACTTGCTTTGGACAATGAAATGTGAGTAAAAGTGACTAGAGCCAGATTTCTTCTCCTGCTACAGTGATTAGGGAAACCAGTATCGATATGGCAGCGTCACAACATTGAAGCAGCCTGAATTGCTGGTAATAAATGCAGGAAAGCCGCCCTGGGAGTTTGCCCAAATCCATAGCAGGCTTTTGATGAGTTGGGGGGAGGGGGGCGGAGGGAGAAAGACACTTCTGTTGTGAGATTTGGGGGTTGTTTGTTACTGCAGCAAAACATAGCCTATCTGATTCACTATAGAGAGGGGGATTAGTTCTGGGAATCTTTTTTTTCTTAATTTTTAAAAAATCCTCACCTGAGGATATGTTTATTGTTTTTAGAGAGAGAGAAAAGAAGAAGAAGAAGAAGAAAAAGAGAGAAAGAGAGAAATGTTAATGTGGAAGAAACTGATTGGTTGCCTCCCATGCTCCCTGACCAGGGATCAAACACACACTTAGGTGTGTGCCCTGACTGGGGATCGAACCCACAACATTTTGTCTATAAGATGATGTTCCAACCAACTGAGCCACCTGGCCAGGGAGTGGGAATCCTTTTTAAAAAAATCGAAGGACACAGTTTTCTTTTTTCCAGAAAATTTTCTTGTTTTTCATTAGACTATAAAAAAAATTAACAACCGACTCATTAATTAGTCACAAAAAGAATCACAATGAATATCAAAATTGGAATGAGTTTCTGGGTGGTCCAAGGAGTGGGCACATATATATTTTTGACAGGCAATGACAATCTTAGTTACCCCTGGATGTGGCAAGACTATGCCAAGGGGGCCAACGATGTGGGTGACACTTTACGGAGATGATCAATATGAGGAAAAGGCACCTTCGATGTGTTTAAATATCATAACTCAAGTTAAATATTAACCAAGAAAGACACACTTTATTCCCCATCTCACCCAAGTAACACCTGCTTCATTTTCTCCGACGCTTAAAATCTCCCAGGAAGGAACTGAGTGATCCAAATTTGGCAGAAAAGGGAACAGCGTGTGGGAAACAGGAATTTTCCAAGCAGAGGCATTTCTTTGGCTCCTTCTGCTCAGACTCCTATGGCTACAGATCTTCAATGATGGGCAATGTTAATAAGAACTTAATTTAGAGGGAGGGGAGAGGGAGGGAGGGAAAGAGAGAAAGAGACAACAGACGAGTAGAAAAATAGAACAAAGGAAAGAAGGAAGGAAGGCAAGCAAGGGAAGGAGTGAGGGGAAGACAGAGGGACATGGCTCGGTGAGGACACGGTGGTGTGCAGCCTCAGTGAGAGGTGACCAACCCTTCCTAAAGGCCCCTTAAGCACCCAGCGTGGTAGGGGGCATGGTTCTGCCCCTCCTTACCCAGGGTGACCATACCTTGGGAAGCTCAAGCTGAAATGGGGTGGTCACTGCCAGTGAAAGCAGTGACTTGTAACTGAGCTGGCCTCCAGGCAGCGCAGCCAGAAGAAGGCAATTCTCAGAGCTCATCTTCTCCAGAACCTGTGAGAGAAATCACCAGAAGGTAGTGGAAACAAGATTGCCCACATTCATTGCCTCCAGGGCACTGCCAAGACATCCCAGGGGCTAGGGTCCCTGTTTAATGTGTCAAAATTCTCCTGTAGGAGGGACGGAGCAGGTGTCCTGCTGGGCCTCCCAGGCTCCAGAGAAACGTCTCACAGGAGCAGGAGGGGGCTGCGTTGAGCAGACAGCATTCTTTCATCCTGAGCTGTGGGCAGTCTGATCTGAGCAACCTCTCTTCTTTTGAAGCACAAGGCCCTGTGCCCGCTGTGAAGTTCATTTCCCACAATCCCTACCATGGAGTTAGTCCAATTCTGCTCACAACTAGAGGCCCTCATTGCAGCTCTGCCTCTGGGTTCTCTGATGAGACCACAGATGGCTTCAAGGTGTGGACACCTGGCAGAGGGAAACCTTCAGGCTGGGCCATATAAGCCCAGGTTCCGGGCAGCTTGGGAGATCCGGGGAGTTTTCCTCTGGGGAAATGGATAGTGAGCTGGTTTTCCAGACCCACACTGGTTCTTCATGAAAGAAGGGCACCGAATGCCGTTGTTTACGTTGGATCCCACTGCCTGCGTTGGGGTTTCGCCCACCGGACACTCAGGCATGACTGCCTCTGGGATCGTGGTCTCTTGCTGAGTCATCTGCTTGTTTTCAAGCGAGCCTGGGTCTCCTTCCCGAGGCAGCCTTTGCTCAGACCCCGTGACCTCGCCCTTGTGTTTTACACGATGACTGGTCTCCTGGTGGAAGGTTTGGACCGAGCAGTGCATCTGTAGGTGCGTGCGCCACGGAGCCCTGAAGACCTGCGGATAGCCTCTGTCCGCCTCCTCCGCCATCCCCGCCGCCTCAGGGTCCACCTTGTCCAGGAACAGTGAATGCCTCCTCTCCTTGTTAATCCAAACAGCACTGACCATGGGTTCAGCGGGAGCAGGCGTGTTCTCTCCTGAGAAAGCAAAGGCACAAGCAGGGTCACCAGGGGAAGGCACGTGGGCAGCTCTCATTAAAGGAGGCTATGCCCCAAACGTCAGAGGCCAGGGGCTCCGTACACTGCGCGTGTGTGCACGCATATACACGGACACACACGTGACCCCACGCACAGGTGCTCGCACAGGTGCACTCCCTCCCAGCCTTGCTCATGCACATACTCGCACCCATGCAGGCTGTCTCTGTCTCTCTCTCTCTCACACACACAATCAATCATTCATTCATACAACAAATACTTATCGAGCACTTATTATGTGCCAGGCATTATTTATTCTAGGTCCTGGAAATACAGCCGGGAACATGGAGAAAAAATCTACACCTGCACAATGTGTTCTAGTGGGGTAGAGAAGCAATAAGCACATGCATATAATAAAGTTTCGGGTGGTGATCAATGGCATGGAGAAAAACTCCGGCATAACAGATTTATTAATAGACCTCAGTTTTGGACTGCATTGACTGCTCTTCCTAGGAAGAGCGAAGGAACTAGCATCTCAGACTGAAAGGGTGTCAAGGAACGAAGGCACACCTGTGGCCCCATCAGGCTGCTCACACGCTCACCCATGGGGCACGGCTGTGTGTTGTATGATTCTGACAACGGGCTGACCACACACGGGGGAGGGCTGGCCCTCATCCTTCCTTCCCACAGCCTCCATTCTGGGACACATTTGCAGCGCCTACCGTTTCCCTGAAGGACGAGGCTGCCAACCAAAGTCTCTCTTCTGCAGGGACATATTCTTACCACCTTGCGAAACATGATAATTTCCTGTCAGCTCTGGGTGGCCGTGAGGGCTGTGGGAATGAATGCCTGAAAGGCATTTTCTTATAGCAAGTAGGCCTGTGGCCAGTCTGGAGGGCCCTCTGAAATGTCAGCAAAGGTCCCTTGAGCTTTCTGGCATTTGTCACCCGCAGGGCCTCCTGTGGGTGACAAAGTGTATGGCAGCAGTGGAGAGATGGTGCTGGAGGAATAGAGTCAGAGGAAGCCCCTGAGCTCCAGTCCTGGGAACCCAGGAGATACAGGGGACGGAAGCAGCCATCTCTGCCATGTCACCACCGTCCCGGACACACTAGCTCCAGCGGGAAGACAGAAGATTGTTCCTGCTTCCTTCCTGCACGGCTATTTTCTTAGTGTGACAAGCATGGAAACCTTTGCAGATATGCAACATACTCTGTATTTATTTGTGAAAGAGGAGGAGGGGGACGTGGTGCTTCCTTAATTCCCCGCCCGTGGCTCAGTTCGCCGGAAGATAGGGGTTGGGGAGGAGGCATTTTGAGCTCCTCCTTGGATTCTCTCTTCAGCTGGATGGAGGGACAGGGAATGGAGGTCTGAAAAGAGGGGTTGCCTGAGAGAGCTGTTAGGAATGTCAGCTGAAACGTGCATATAAACCACCCAGCCCAGACGTGAGTTCTCACCCCCAGTCCCTTTTCCCTGGGACAAGTCCCACCCCACCCGCATGTGACAAAATCACGTGCCTTTTAGACGCCAGCCACACGGGCACAGCGCCTTCCCCGGACCCTAGCTCATGCTTCCGCGGTGCCCTTCTGCTGGTTGCATCAGGGCAGCGATGTTGCTCCTTGGAACAAAATGTTTAGAATCTAGATCCATCCCATAATACGAAGACAGGATGAAGGAAGCTAATTCAAGGGTGCTTCCTTCCATGAATCAGCTCCCAGAATACCTGCCCTTCCAAACACAACCCAATGTCTTGAGACACTGGAACCTAGTTTTAGTTGGAGCCGATCTCAACGGTCACTGTATCCTCCTGGGTGTCTGTGTACGGGACAGAGTCACTGCCTCCTAAATTTCCTCTACATGCCTGGCTTCATGACATGAATATCTCCTGTTGTTTCCTAGTGTGAAAAAAAAATAATTGTGGTAAAACACACATAAGATTTAGTATGTTAACGATCTTAAGGGTACAGCGCAGGAGCGTTAAATACACTCACACTGCCATGCAGCTGATCTCCAGAACTTGTTTCATCTTCCCAAGCTGGACTCCGGACCCGTGAAACCACAACTCTCTGCTTCCCTCGCCTCCCTGCTCCTGGCAACCACTCCTCCACTTTCTGTCTCTGTGCATTCGACAGCTCCAGGTACCTCATATAAGCAGAATCACACAGTATCTGTCTTCTTGTGACTGGCTTATTTCACTTAGTATAATGTTCTCAAAGTCCAACCATGGTTACCCAAGGCCCAGCCTGTGAATGAGTTTCCTTCCTTTTTAAGACTATAATGTTCCTCTTGCTATCAGTTTGCCTGCCCTCTCTTGTCTCTCCATGCTTCTCTGCCTCAGCTTGTTTCTAAATGGTGGACTATTCCAGAACTCTAATTTTCATCCTAGCCTCTTAGCGATTTGTATACTGACCTGCTGCAGTTTTACCCATGCCCACGGCTTCAACTACAAATCTCTGTCTCCAGCCCCAGTTACTTCCCTGAGATCCAGGCGGGTTGGAAGTCCTACAGACAACTGTCTCAAATGCAGCATATTCACAAGCAAATTTCTCTCTCCCTCCCCAACGTCTTTGTCTTCTGTAAGCCCTATCTCACCGCCATCTACCCTGCTGCGCAAATACAGGCACGATTCCTTTTTTGTTTCCCTAGCAACATTTTTACCTTATTTTTGTAAATTTAGCCTGATTTCTTCCTGGAGCAGGGAGCTCGGGGTTACAGAACGCACGAGGAAAGGCCAGCTGGGAGGGGTAGGGGCAGGGGATGGTGAATTCCATGGGACATGTTGAGTTTGAGTTGTCTTTGGTACCTGGATTCATGAGTCTGAATTGCAGGTGTGTTAAGCATGGTGCTTTCATTAGATAGTGGTTTAATAAATGTTTGCTGAATGAATGAATGAATGAATGAACACCCTTGAGGATGAGATAGGGTTTTAGGAAGCTTTCAGCTTAAGCCTGCCTGCAGAGATGGGGGGCAGTGTTATTTGGCTGTGACAGTTTAGTTCAAATGGATCCCACTGCTTGGCAACAGCCCGAGTAATGGAAGATGGTCGCCTTCATCTCAGAAGTGGCAGTTCTGTCTCCAAAAGGCAGCGCACTTCCTGTCCAGGATGGTGAGGTCCCTCTGGCTCCTGATTCCTTTCCAGCCTGGTCTACTGTGCATGGGTTACTCAATGAGTGCTGAACTGTACAAATAACCATAGAAATTCCCAGGCACAGCGTCGACATTTCAGGGGACTTTCCTACCTCCCTTGACCTGTTCCCCTGTTAGAGGTTGAAGGGCTGGGGTTTGACAATTGCTTGATTCCTGACCTCTGTGTTCCTAACTTGCTCCAGCAATGAAATCTGAGTTCCCAAAGGGAACATGTTTCTCCCCTCAAAGAGGGGGCTTCTGTGTCTCATGCCACCTCCCTGGCTGCTGTCTGAGGCTGTGAGGAGCAGGTTCCCGGAGCCTTGCCCTTCCTCTGGCCAGCACCCAGGCTTCGGGGATGCCACGTCTTCTCTCTCCTGTGCCAGTTTCTTGGGTTTGCAGGAGGTGCCTGGGTTGCACCCAGCCAGGAAGCAGAGCTTCCATCTCCCCACCTGGCTTAGCAGGGGGCCCAGCCTGGCTCACCTGGCAGACCAGTCCAGCAGGATCAGAACAGAAGAGCAGAGGCCAGGGAGCAGCAGGCTGCTGGCCGCACGCCTGGTTGGGGCCCCTGGCTCAGTAGGCAGGGGGACTGAGTCCAGCAGGGCTGCCCTGAGCCAGCCTCCCTGCTCTGGCTCCGGCTCCGGCGGGCCTGCGTTCCTGCTCTTGCCCACCAGGAGGGCCCGCAGAGCCCTGGCCCTGCGCAGCCCGCAGCTCCGGACCCCCAGCCACCCCGTCCACCCACATCCTCCACTGCTGTTCCCAGCACCTGCCCAGCCCTACCTTTCGGGAGCACCACGAGGTGGGCCTGGACCCTCTGCTGCTGCCTCAAGCCTTCGTACTGGGCTCGCAGGAGCTGGATGCTGAGTGGGGGCCCTTTCCCCAGCGTCTGAGTCCTGGAGCCGTCAGCCATGAAGCAGGACCCCAGCTGCCAGAAGTGGGCCAGGCACAGGCTGGGGCAGGGCAACCCCTTCATCTGGATCCGGGAGAAAGGCAAACACTGGGTGGGGCGGAGCGGGGAGGAGTGGGAGGTGGTGGGGCTGACGGGTGTGGGGAGGGAAGTGAGGAGCAAGGTGGAAAGATGCACGGGAGGAAAAAGGAGGTGCTGGCAAGGGGAAAGCTAAGCGAAAAAGAAGCAAAGTGGAGGGAAATGCAGGGCCCAGCAAAAAGGTGGGAGGAGTGAAGCTAAATGTGGGGTGGGAGGGTGGGGCTGGGGAGAAAGGCCAATGAGGGAAATGAGGAAGGTAGGAGGAATGGGTGAGGGGAGGGGATAGTCCGGGGGAGGAGGGAAATGGGGAGCAGGAAAGGAAGCGGTGTGCGAAGAGCGACGGAGAGAGTGGAGGAGGGAGGTGAGAATGGGGGTTCATGGAGGAGAAGAGAGGGAGGCGGGCAGGGGCTGCAGGAGGAGGAAGGGGAACCGGGTGAATGGGGGTGAGAGATTGAGGGGCACGGGGCGAGGGGAGGGGCAGGGGGATAAAGAGAAAGGCAACACAGCTGCTCAGAGTCCTTCTGGGGGCCCAAGGAGGCGTCGTATTCCGGGCCCTTCACGGTTTGATCCTGAAGTTTAGAATCCAGTTCTAAGTGCCAGCGTGAGGTCTCCCACCTGCCGGCCGAGCTGGAGCTGCTGCCGCCGGGAATGCCGCGTGCCCGCTCGACTCACGCACCTCTCCGACTGGAACCTGGACGCTCAGTTTGCATTTGGAAAAGAAACACTCTCTGCAGCCTCACACAGCTGGTGCCTTGGGAGAGTGCACGCTGCAGCCGCATCCCAGGGAAACCCGGTAGCAAAGTTGTCCCCAAGACCTCCACTCACCCCCAACACACTCTCAGGAAATAGCCCAACCCCACTCTGTCTTCTTCCTTGGGGACGGAGCCCTCGGGAGCCCAGGCCTCTAGCCAGCCCCACCTCTTTGACATTTGATACAGCCTCGGTGGACCAAGCAGTGAGTTGGTGTTTATCTTACCCACAGCTAGGGGCTCCCTCCCCATCTGGCTGCCAGAACTGCACCCCTTCAACTCTGTACATCCTCTGAATCTTAGACAATCTGTCTTTTGCACCAGCTCCGATCTCTCCTTGCTCTACATGGACAGCGAAGTCCCTCTTTATCGTCTCCTAACATAAGGCTACCATGACGGCTTACCCAAAACCCAGCACACCTGCAGAGGTAACGGAAACAGGGCAGAGACTGAATTTACTCTGGGCGTTAACTGGATGGGATCCAGTCATCAAATATGGAGGGCACATCTCCACTGAGCAGTGGGTGACTTTGCTAGGGCTGCAGAACAAAACAAAGCACCACAAATTGCTAGTCCTTTGTGTGTCCTTGGAAACTGCTCGTCATTGGATGTGGGTTGCATGTGGATGGATGTTTTGGTCATTGGCTGTGACAAGGGTCAGAGATGGAGGGCACATCTTCTTTGGGTGATGTGTTAGTTTGTTAGGGCTGCAAAATGAAGTACCACAAATTCGGGAGCTTAAACAACAGAAATATTATCCCACAGATCTGGAGGCTCGAAATCTGAGAACAAGGTTCGCAAGGTTGGTTCCTTCCGGTGATCGTCAGAGAGAACCTGTCCCATGACTGCCACCCAGCTTCTGGCGGATCGCGGGCAATCTTTGCTGTTCCTTGGCTGGTAGAGGCATGGCCTGATCGCTGCCTTTATAGTCACGTGGTGCTCTCCCTGTGCGCATGTCTCCGTGTCCAAATTTCCCGTTTTCATAAGGAAGGACAGCAGCCATATTGGATTAGGGCCCACTAACGACCTCATCTTAATTCAAGGAATTATACCTGCAGTGACTGTCTCCAAGTCGGGTCCCATGCTGAGGCACTGGGATTAGGAGTTCAACATATGAATTTGGGGGGACACAGTTTCACCCATAGCGGGCAGGGGAATGGTCGCTCCATTCACAGAGATGGCACAGGCGAGGAGCAGACGTGGGGTGGGGGGTGGCTGTGGGGAGAAGGGGAGGGCTTTGTTTCATGCGTTATGTTTGCGGTGCCCATGGTCCCTGGGTCCGTAGGAAGGGGTTGGGCTCCTGGTGGAGAAATGTAAGTGTCATCAGTTGTGAAAATGATACCGCTCATTACTGGGAAGGTTTTATCATTAGACTGTTAGGCATATATGGAATGGAGAGATGGTCCACGTAATTTTTTCTTTTCCCTTTTCAGTCTCCCTGTTAGCTTGTTCCAGCCCATGTTTGATGGGCAGAAGCGAGGCTTCCTCTGGGCTCTCCCAGGGTCTTTCTCTTCTCTGGTCCCAGGTCTAACTTCTTTCTCTTGGCCTCTGGTCCATCTCTGTGCTCTACGTGTTCAAAGAAAGGATGAATGGTCTAGGCTAGTGGCATTTCTACAAGGGTATTCTTAACATGCTTTCTGTGCTGTTTCATTTTTTAAAAAGGTCTCACTGTCTTTTCCCCACCTGATTAAGACCTCAGTTTTCCTGGCATGGGATGGGTATGGTTGCATCCGTGGGGTGGGTATGCACTCCCTGAACAGGGTCATGGAGGTGCACATGCTCATCCTACATCATAAGAATGGAAGCCTGCAGCCCATATGTGGCGGCTGATATTTTAGAATTGAATGAAAGTTCCAATTTAGGAGGATATTTCAAGATAGCAAGCTCTGGAAACACCAATATTTAAGGGGTAGGCAGAGGTAAGAAGGTAATGTTGAAAACTGAAAAAGAAACCAAAGTGGTAGGAGAAGAAACCTTAAAGAGGGAAATTACAAACTGCAAGGAAGGGAAGAAATGTCACAATGATGCAGGGTGGCCAAAACGGGGGAGACAGAATCTCCTGATCCTTGTCCCCACCCTGTAGAATAGCACCTGAGAAATATATGCAGAAGACTATTTATCACCCTGGCTACACATTGAAACCACCTTGGGAGTTTTTAAAGAAACACCAGTGCTTCAGTGCCTCCCCTAAATAGTCTGATTTAATTAACCTGGGGTAGTGTCTTTAGCATGACATATTTCTAAAGTTCTCCACTGCTCTAGAGAACCGTCTGCCTGCCTTATGAGTGCCCAGACCTCTGGTTAAGGCACAAACGGTGGAAGATGGCCCAAGCTGCTTCATGCCTTTTTAATAGGGGGTCTCTCTCACACAAGCAGAGAAGCCAAGAGTGGCACCTCTGTGCTGGTCCAGCTGCACCTGCCATAAAATTGAACTTGATTTCTATTGTGTTTTGTCATGACGTTGTCAGGCTTTACCTTTTGGTGTTCATAGTCGTTTTTTTCTGTGTGCATCTTCATGGATATTTCAGGAAGAAAGAGCTATTAAGTGCTAGTTGTATGCTTTTTTGAAGCTGAAGTACCTTCCTTTACTTCAGATGGTTCTTCTCTATCTTAACACCCAAATCTTTAACTCGTTTGGAATTGATTTTAGTGTTAGAATGTTAGATATAAGGCACGGATGTAGCTATTTTCTCTTCTGAATAATTGCCCAATTGTCACAGAATCATTTATTGTATAACCTCCCCTTCCCTTACGATTTAACAATAATAGTGTAAGGAAATATGGCAACTGTATCCCATCTCAGGGGGTCTTCAGAAATGAAAGACACATATGATTGAGTTTGGAGCCCTTCCTGGAAAAGGATGAGTGCTGCCAGGTGTCCTTTAGCCTGACTGGTGTGGCTCAGATGGTTGGGTGTCGTCTCGCAAGCCATAAGGTCACCAGTTCGATTCTCAGTCAGGGCCCATGCCTGGGTTGCAGGTTCAGTTCCCAGTTGGAGAGTGTACAAGAATCAAGCGATTGGTGTTTCTCTCTCATATCGATGCTGTTCTCTCTTACTTTCTCTCTCCCTCTCCCTCTCTAAAAATAAATAAAATCTTTTTTTTTAAATGGGGGAGCAAGAAATGAGATTTAAGTTTGCTCAATGTCCAAGAAATATGAGTAGGGATGGGATGCTCTGTTATTTGAGGAAATGTTTGCCCATGTGTGTTTAAACCGTACTGAACCCAATAATCAAAGTCTGTGGTTGAGAGAGAAGCCTGTGCTTAATCTAACAGGTTTGTTAACAGGTCCTGCAACTCTCATGGGAGCTTCGAGTAAAGGAAATTAGACCTAGAGGATCCGGGTTCGCTGCTGTCCAGAAGATCCAGCTATTCTATGAGACCTGGGTAGTCAGGTGTTACTTCTCACTAGGGGGCTACTCCAGAGAGAATGACCCCACCGGAGGCACTGTGACCAAGGACCAGCCGTTGGCGAGTGGGGAGTCAGAGGCTTGAAGAAGGCAGCCCTAGGGAATGGTTTGAGAGCCGAAGGCCAGCCGTGCTCTGTATACAGCGGGAATGGGACCGTGGTGAATCCTGTCCTGGCAGAGGACTTTCATTTCAAGTTCTTTCCACCGGGTACTCCAGTGGAAGCTTAAGTTGCCTCGATCTTTAGTTTTTCCTTGTCTCCTCTGTCCCCAGTTCACTAATCTGCTTTCTGTTCCTATGGACTTGCCCCTTCCTATAAACGAAGCAGACAGTATGGGACATTTTATGTCTGACTTCTTTCACTCAGCATGGTGTTTTCACCGTTCATCTGTGTGGTAGCCTAGATCAGGACTTCATCCCTTTTGATGGTTGAACAACATTCCATTGTATGAAAATGTCTTGTTTATCCATTCATCTGTTGCCAGATATTTGGGCGAGTGTGAATAGCATTCTTGTGACTAGTGCTGCTCTGTGCATTCACGTCCAGGTTTCTGTCTGAATACCTGTTTTCAGTTCTTTGGGGTATTCTACCTCGGAGCAGAATTGCTGAGTCCTGTGGATTTTGTATGCTGTTAGAACTGCAAGACTTCCTGGATGGTATTAACAGATTTCCACCCCTCATGCTTTGCCTTTTCTGTGGACATGCTGAGAACTCTGCCCTGGAGTCAGCTGTCAAAACTAAAATGTCTACAAAAGAACATTTTTTCTCCCAAAATAAAACATAAAAGCTATTGATAGAATATGAGACAACTACTTAATAATTAATCTCAAA